ATAAAATTTCAATTAAATGGAATATTTTAAATCAGGGGTTTCTGGATGATCAAAAGCAAATGAAAAAATTACTCATACGTTCATCATTTATTTACTGATTCCCCCCCCCCCCCATTATATGCCACGTACTGTTCTTGGTATTAGGACTACAACAGTGAACAAAGAGACAAAATTCTCCATCCTCATGGAGCATAAATTGTGGTAGAATCCTTTTTGTTTCCACTTCTACAGATAATTTTTTCTAAGATATTTTTTCTTCTTGCAGGTACATGCATTATCACAATCTACTGTGTTTGGTTTGTTGGTTGTGATCACAAAGATTCTTGAGTTGTCTCAAAACCTTCATTCCTTAGGACCATGGGCTCGAGCATCAATATCTTTTAATAAATGTGTTTTAACCACAGCAGGTGATTAAGATGTGCTTCCAGAGCTGAGTAGCACTAGCATAGAAAGTTTAGATTACTGGCTTGAAGGATACGGAGTTCAGCATATATATTAGAAGATATTTTAAAACCTAATGACATCAACTTGTTTTGTTGTAATTTGTGATTGAAAATTGAAATGTGCATGCAGCAAAAGAGAACTGGGATTAAAGGTTCTCATTATTTAAGTTCTCTTACCATTCCTTTCACCTCAAATCTAACATTTTATTTACCTACTTATTTATTTAGCCGCTATTATATGCCAGGTGTTAGGGATTAAAAAATGAACAGAGAATGAGCCCTGTTCTTTAGGAATTTACAGTCTAGTATGGGAGTTTGCAGCCTTTTTCTATAAAGGGCCATATAGTCTCTGTCACAACTATGTGACTCAGCCACTATAGTGAAAAAGTAGCCATAGACAATACACAGACAAATAGATGTGCCTGTGTTCCAGTAAACTTGATTCACCAAAACAGTTAATGGTCTGGATTTGGCTGTAGGATTTAGTTACCACCTTCTGGTCTAGTAGAACAGAGAGAAAATAAATTAAAAAAAAATACTATAAAGTGGGATAAGTGACTAAAGCAAGCACCAGGGCCTCAGTAACATAGAGAAGGGACATCAAATTAGACTTGAGATTAACTTTCTGAAGGAGATGCTGTTCAAGTGAATTATAAAGAATAGGCTAGAGTTTGAGAAAAAGAAAGGAAGGATGTCTAAGTAGAGGGACAAACATGTGCAATGTATAGATATGTAAAACAATAATGTCTCTTCCGGAAACCAAAAGAAATTCAACGTGGTTAGAATGCAGGTTGCCTATGTTATCAGGAGAATGAGGTTACAGAGATAGGCCCAAGCTATATTCTGATGGGCCTTGGCTTTGAGACAAGAAACAGAGCTATGAAGCTGAGTGTCCTGGGGGGAACAAATAAAAAATTTAAGAGAAAAAAGTAACTTATTAGCTGCTGGTTGAAAATAGGTAGATAATTGCAGAAAACCAAAGGGAAATTGATGAAGATGGTAAGTTTGATCAGGATGGAATGAATATGAGAGCTATTAACAGAGTCTCTAGTTCTTGGTGACTGATTGTGTGGGAGAATAAAGGAGAAAGAAGCTGGTAATTTCTAGGTTTCTGACTTGGGTGACCCAATGGTGTAATTTATAGCAGGAGTGTACTTGAGTAGTGGTACAGGAAGATGAATTCAATTTAGAGCTTTGAGTTCAGAGTAAATGTATAACACTGAAGTGTAGCTCTTCAGTAGAAAATGGGTTGCTACTTAACTGGAGATGGAGATTTGGGTGTCAACCATGCGTAGTGATAGATAAGGCCATAAATTTAGATTAATCACCTATAGAAAGTCTATAACATGAAAAAACAGAACAAAGGACAAGGCCTTGGGTAACATGACTATTTAAGGATAAGGATTTTGAAAGCATAGTCACATAGAGTTTGGGGGAAACCAAAAGACAGGGCTGTTACACAGGAAAGGAGATTCAGGAAAAAGCAGCTGTCAGTGCTGAGTGCAGAAGAGAAGGAAATAAATGTATGTCTGCCATTTGGTCTTGTCCAAAATGTCCACAGCCACTTTTGGCTCATGCTGAAAGGTCCTTGATATTTGCTCCTGTCCCAAAAGGACTATGGAGACATTTTGTTCATGATTCATTACAGAATACAAGCACTGAAAACCTTGTTCAAAGTGTATGGACCTTGTTTTTCCTGTAGTTTATGAGGAACCTTGGATTTCACATAGATTCTTGTCTTCCTCATTCTGAAGTTTAGCAAGGTTACTCCGAAATCAATGAGCAATTGCTCTTGAGTATATATTGACCTGATTATTGGCTTTCTATTAATTCTATCTGTAAATAGTTTCAGTGATACAGATTTGATCCTGCTGGTATTGCTGTGAGGTTGGTGGCCATATTTGAGCGTGACCATTGAGAACCTGGGTGATAACTTGTCCGTGGATCTGCAGTTCATGTCTTCATACTTCAAGGACCTTTCATTGTGGGCCAATGTCTCCGTGGATGTTTTGGACAGGACCAAATCTCAAAGCCATTTTGTGGTGAAGCAAATGTCTTTGCGGACTTTTTGGACAGAACCAAATGTCCACTTATCAACTTTTCATGTTTTGAATGCTTATGAAACTGAAATTAGGGTCTTCAACATTATATCTTTTTATGGTTCAAATTGAACAGTTAGGGGAAAAATAAACTTTTAGACTGTTTTTGAGTTCTTTCATAAGTAACTATTTCTGGCATAACTACCAGGTCCATAGGTGTCGTTAGTTGAGAATTGTGAATGGAATCATCTAACCTCTTATGCGAAGTAATGATTGCTTTTGCACAGCCCTCATTCCAATTGAATTTGGAATTTAGTGTCATTATGGGGTAGAACAATGCTTTTCTTTGCTTCTGAGCCTGGGAGGCCTAAGCCCATCTTTCCCATTATCTATGCCTGATGTTAGGCTGTGAATTTCTGTAAATGATAAATAGCTTCATTGAATTTTCACTTCCTACTCAATTCTTTACAAGTTAAAGGGAGAAGAATAGCCAAGAAACAAAAAAGGCTTTTATTTACAGAAAATAATAGCTGTGCATTGTGAAACCATGTAGTTTTGAGCTAAAAGTATTGATTATTTGCCATATTTTAATTTTGCTGCCTGGTGATTTGTGTTCTTTACACCACTAAATATTACCTGACTTGACCAGTTCCTCTGCTATGAACTTAAATCTAGTCTTGCCTCATGTTGAAATACTCTGAAGATGATATACATACATATATGAATATTAATAAATATAAAACACATTTTATAGAAGTTGCAGCAATAATGAAAGGAAAAAATTATTTAGAGGACTTTTTATTTAGAAAGAATTTAGAGGAAAAAAATGTTCATGAACATTTTGTGAAATTAATCAAAAGGTTCACTGTGGCTATTGCTGGGTAAAGGAATCATGTAATTTGTATTATCTTCTTTTATTTGTCTACATTTTCTACAATGAATGAATATATTTTCTGAAGTAATATACAGCCTGGCCAGGGTGTCTCAGTTAGTTGTTTGGAGCATTGTTCAGTGAAACAAAGAGTCACGGGTTCTATTCCCAGTCAGGGCACATGCCTGCATTGTGGGTTTGGTCCCAGTTGGGGCATGTGAGAGAGGCAACCAATCGATGTTTCTCTTCCTCCCTCTCTTTTCCTCTCTCTAAAATCAATAAGAATGTCCTTGGGTGAGGATAAAAGAAAAGTTTGGTTGGTAGGGTTTTTTTAAGACAAGTGCCTCTATGATGATGTTATTGCTACTAGTATATATAGTTCTCCATTATACTATCTTAGTTTTGGACAACTGCAGCTTAGTATCTCTTTCACTAAGAAATGTTCCTAGCCTAGGGCAAAGAAACTGTCATACTGCTCTGTCACTGAGGCTACTGGGTTGTTTTTATGGTGTGTATTGGTCATTCATATTTATTGAGCACCCATGTGCTGCCTTTTGTGGGAAAATAAAAAGACAGGTATGTGCAGGAAAATGTCCAAGTCGGGGCTCCTTTCAAAAGAGTGATCATTTTTAACTTCTGAGAATTTATGAATCAATCTATCAAAACAAACATGATGGAGATCTGCTATATACAGGATGATGGGATGGTAGCTGCACAGATAGATCTTAAGGGACATTGAAACATGGCCCACACAGGCTTTGGAAGCTTGGGGTCAGGCTGAGAAGATAAAACTTGAGTGTGTAAAAATATGTCGGATTCCAATGATGTATATTCTTGGTCAGCATAGTGTTGCTGTTCTTGTTGTTCCTTTTTTATTTTTTTATCAATTATTTTATTTATTTAATTTGAGAACCTATAGGCTGTATATACTTCTTAGTCAAACCACAAACTTCATCAATCCCTCTTATATCCCTGTACTTCACACATATACATTATGTCCCGGTCCAGCAAGGCATTTGGGATTTGATCCCTGCTCTAAGTCCTAGGGCTTGCTAATTGCTGATGGGAACGTGAAAAATATTCAAAGAAAGTCAGGAAAAATCAGAGGTAGGTGAGCACAGAGTCATGAAAGTGATGATTAAATAACATTTTAAAGAAGCTCTAAAATTAGGTAACTGAAATAAAGCAGCTCTCCCTACTATATTGGTTCAGAAAGCTGAAAACCGAGCTTGTTAAAATCTTTGTTGTTCTTTTACAACTTGACTAGATTTAACACTCTGCCAAGAGTAGAAACAATGTCTTTTTTATATTCTGAAACTCTACCTCACAGTGAGATTACAGAACTAAGCTCCACAGGTGCTCCATCAATTTCAAAAGATAGAAAAGGAGGGAAGGGTGTGGAAACAGGAAGAAAAAAGGGAACAAAAGATTTAAAGTTGCCCCACTCTTCCAAATAATAATGGCATTCTTGTCTAGAATAACTCTGATGAAACAGATCATTTTGCACACTTACCATTTTTCTAGAAGCAACGAGGTTAGAAATAGGTCTACTAGAGTCAAAAAAACCTCTTTTTTTTTCATGAACTACTTTCTCTCGTTCAAATGTCTCTCCTAAACAACTTTTCTTCTGTTCAACCCCTTCTGTAGGAATGACTTGTTGATGGTCTGTCGTCAGTTGAATATGGAAGAGTCTGTGGCTGAGATCATGAACCAACTGGGTGCAGATGAAAATGGGAAGATTTCCTTTCAGGATTTTATAAGATGCCGCATGCAGCTTGTTCGAGAAATTAGGAAGGAGGAGGTGGGACTTTCTGAGAAGTCAGACAACTCCTGTAAAAAGAAGAAGCTGAGGGATAGAATTGCTTCCTGGCCCACAAGCAGTGACAACAGTTTGGGTAGGTACAACCAGGTGACAGCTGGATAGTGCCCCCCTAGCTCTGCTTCCTTGACTTCTGTAAATGAGAGTGACCTGCCAGCCTGTTGCCAGCTTGTCCCTGGTCTGTCTTCTTGGCCACACTTCCCTGGGTGAGTGCTCACTATTTCCCGTTCTGTACCATAGCTTCACAGTTCCCAGTTTACCACTTTCATTATTTTAGTTTTTCCCTTTCCCAAGCATAATAATGCATTCAAATAGCTCCTAGAGAGGAGGGGCAAATTGGATGGCAAAGGTGGTAACTGCATCAGCAGGCATCAGAAACTACTTGAGAACTTTAAACTGTAGTACAGTGAGGTTAAAAAAAAATCTTTTTTATTTAATGTTTAAAATTTTTTCTATTAACATACTTGTTTTTCTGTTCTTTTTTTGAATTATATTTTATTGATTATGCTATTAACAGTCGTCCTGATTTTCCCCCCATTGACCCTCTCAACCCAGCACCCCCTAGTCCCTCAGGCAGTCCCCACACCGTTGTTCATGGCCATGGGTCCTTTGTAAAAGTCCTTTGGCTACTCCATTTTCTATACTGTATTTTTCATCCTCATGGCTGTTCTGTAACCACCTATTTGTACTTCTTAATCCCCTCCCCTCTTTCCCCATCTGGCACCAGTCAAAACACTCTCCATATCCATGATTCTGTCTCTGTTCTTGTTTGCTTAGCTTGTTTTTTAGATTCAATTGTTAATAGAGATGTATTTTTGCCATTTTATTGTTCATAGTTTTGATCTTCTTCTTTTTCTTAAATAAGTCCCTTTAACATTTCATGTAATAATGGTTTGGTGATGATGATCTCCTTGAATTTTTTCTTGTCTGGGAAGCTCTTTATCTGTCCTTCAATTCTAAATGATATCTTTGCTGGGTAGAGCAATTTTGGTTGTAGGTCTCTGCTTTTAATAACTTTGAATATTTCTTGCCAATTCCTTCTAGCCTGCAAAATTTCTTTTCAGAAATCAACTGATGGTCTTACGGGAACTCTCCTGTAGGTAACAAACTGCTCTTCTCCTGCTGGTTTTAAGATTCTTTCTTTATCTGTAACCTTTGGCATTTTAATTATGATGTGCCTTGCAGGAGTGAGCCTCTTTGCATCCATCTCGTTTGGGATTCCTCTGTGCTTCCTCGACTTGCGTGTCTATTCCCTTCACCAAATTAGGGAAGTTTTCTTTCATTATTTTTTCAAACAGATTTCCAATTTCTTGCCCTTTCCCTTCTCCTTCTGGCACCTCTATGATGTGAATGTTGGACCTCTCAAAGTTGTCCCAGAGGCTGCTCATACTATCCTCATTTTCTGGGTTCTTTTTTCTTCTTCTGTTTGGATGTTTTTTGCTTCCTTATGTTCCAAATCATTGATTTGATTCTCACTTCATCCACTGTACTGTAATTTCCCTGTAAATTGTTCTTTATTTCAATTAGTGTATCCTTTGTTTCTGACTGGATCATTTTTATGCTGCTGAAGTCCTCACTAAGTTCCTTGAGCATCCTTATAACCAGCGTTTTGAACTCTGCATCTGATAGATTGCTTACCTCCCTTTTGTCTAGCTCTTTTTCTGCTGTTTTGATCTGTTCTTTCATTTGGGCCATGTTTCTTTGTCTGCTCATTTCGGCAGCCTCCCTGTTTTTTTTCTATCTATTACCACATTTTTCCATGTATAATGTGCACTCACATTTTTGTGCATGCCATACATGGGATTATTATGCCCATGGTATGTGATTATTATGCTCATGGTATATACTCATTATACCCATGTATAGTGCACATTTTTATTTTTCCCACAAAAATTTGGGCAACAAACGTGTGCATTGTACATGGCAAAATACAGTAGGGAGAGCTGCTTTGACTCCATATCCTGATAGTGTGGCCTAATATATTAGGTGTCCTGTAGGGTCCAGTGGCACAGCCTCCACTATCACCAAAGCTGAGTACTTTGTGTGGACTGAGTATATCCTGCTCTTGTAGTTGAGCCTTGGTTGCTGTTGGCAGATCCATTGAAGGGATTTACTCAGGCCAGTCAGCTGCAAAGATTGACTCTGACCACTTACCACAAACCTCCACTCTCCATGGAGGATCAGCTGTGCAGGGGCAGGGTGATGGTGCTCCAGTGTGGTCTGTAGCTGTCCACTGGGTGTGCTTGCCCTGGCCCTGGGGTTTCCCAGATGGTGGAGGCCAAGGTCAGCTCCCACCTGTGTTTTGCACAGGGCCACCCTGCCTGAGCTATAAAGCAATCTGAGGTGGCTGCTGCTTATGCTGGGTTTGAAGCTTTCCAGGCAAAGCCAAGCTGTGGATCTAAGATGCCTGCTGCTAGTGCTGGGCCTAGGGCTCACTGAGGCCAGCTGTTGCTTGTTTGAGAGGACTTAGGAAGTTGTGTGGTATGAGCCAAGATCAACCGTTCATATGGAAAAGTAGCTTGGGTGGACCCATAACATGGGTGGGGCATAGTCTCTGGGGATCTCCAAGGCAGGTCAATCAATGTTAGCCAGGTTGATGGAGTCTCAGATATGGCACCAGTTTGCTGGCTCTGTGGCTCTGTGGAGGGAGAGTTTAGAAAAGGGAAAATAGCCTCTGCTCACCTTGATGCCGGGCACTTCAGTTTCTCCCTGTATGCTACTGGTGCCTTTCAAGGCTGCTACCCTGGTGGTAGAGCTCAGGAGGAGTGAGTTTTAGTAGTTGAGTCTGTGGGTTCTGTAAAAGGAACTCTTTGAGGCTTCAGCAGTTTCTGTCACTGACTCAATCACTGCTGGGTTTTGCAGCCAGAAGTTGTTGGGGCTTACCTTCCTGGCACTGAAACACTTGGATGGGAGGCCTGATGTGGGACTTGGACTCCTTGCTCCCAAGATATGCCTCCTGAATTTTTATCCACCACACATGGATGTAGGGAAGTTGTCAGACTTCCATTCACCTCGATTTCTGACAGTTCTGAGAGAAGGTTGTTCTATATTTTAGTTGTAATTTTGATGTAGTTATGCAAAGAGGCGAGCCATATCTGCCTATGCTGCCATCTTGACCGGAAGTCTATAAACATAGTTCTCCTGTCTGTAAATATTATTACTTCCTAGCAATATAAAATAAGCAATTAGAAAGTTCTTTAAAATGGTGATAATTATTGATGCTGGGTGATAGAAACATGGAGTTTATTGTGCATATTTTTGAGCAATCAAATACATATTTTCTAGTATGTTTGCAATTTTTCACAATAAAAAGTCTAAAGAAAAGAGGCTCTTAAAGAGTAGCTGACTAGCCCTGGCTGGTGTGGCTCAGAGAATTGTGCTTCAGCCTGTGAATGAAAGGGTCGCCAGTTTGATTCCCAGTCAGGGCACATGCCTGGGTTGTGGGCCAGGTCCCCAGTAGGGGCACATGAGAGACAACCACACACTGATGTTTCTCTCCCTTTCTTTCTCCCTCCCTTCCCCTCTGTCCAAAAATAAATAAGTAAAAATCTTAAAAAAAAAAAAAAAAAAAAAGAGTAGCTGAACAAGACAGGAAAAAGTATCTGAATTTTCTACCTATACTTGAGGGAAGTTTTTTTCCTTGAAAGTGTTTTCTGAGTCTCTCTGTTTCCTTTTGTGGCAGGTAGCACCTAGTGGCAAGAAGCAAACCTCCATGTTGATTGTCCATCATTTGTAAATATATACTAATTAGCATGGATAACTATGTAATGCCCTAAACACACACATGTGCACACAGACAGTCCACTGCTCCTGGCAGTAGAATAATTTAGAGCATCATTATTAAGTAACTGAAATTATAAAAATGTCCTTTTATCCTCCGTGCCTTACTATCTTAATGAGTTCTGTTTTAGCTTCAAACCAGATGTCTGGTAACGCATAAAATGTAAAAATATTTCATATTTTAAAAAAAATTCTTCTGAGTTTTAAAATAATGTATGTTCATTATAGAAAATAAAGACAAGCAGAAGATAATAAAACCAGAAATAATTACTACTTTTTACATCTCTCCCTCTCTGTTAATCTCTTTCTCTCTCTCTCATATGTGTCATTTAATTGTTTTTTACTATTTTTTTCCACATACTTCCTATATAGCTCTTTGCATTGCCCTTGTGCTTTTAAATAGCATTTGAAAGAAAGGTTTATAATGGTTGCATGACATAAAATGGACACAGTAATGTTTATTGAATTAAAAAATGGAATTCTTTTCATTAGACTGTATAGTCTAATTTTTCTGCCAAGATCATGGATTTCTTATGTAAATGCATAAATACACACATATATTTGAAGGGTTAAGTAAACTGTAGTATATCTCAACAAGTGAATACAATATAGCCATTAAGGTAGTGTATTAAGTGTATATCAAATTTGTATATAGATGGAATACTTTTGTGGAAAAAAAGACTGTACTGTCAAAAGTTGTATTTTAGTGTGTAGTATATGATTATAAATATTTTAAAAGCAATAGGTGTGATAGAATTGCTGACCATATCTAATTGGTTTGACCATCTCATAAGATTGTCCGAAATAGAGAAAAGGTTAAAAACAATTTCTTTTCATCCTTTTCTGTAACTCTATACCCTTGGAGAAAGAAGAAGTAACTGAGAGAAGATAAATTATAAAACGTGTCATGAACTGAGAAAAGACAGCTAATGTGAAACCTTTTACCAGTTTATTAGTTAAAGCTTCAGAGCCAGACTGAGCATGAATCCTGGTTCTGCTGCCTGCAGGACACTAAACAAGTTGCTTGACCTCTCGGTATCTCAGTTCCCAATCAAGTGTAACATAAGAACAATTGTTATTTGGAGGAATACGGAAGCAAATATATATTTTTATACATGTACTACATATATATGTAAAGTACATAAAACAATGTCTGGCACATAGTAAGCACTACATATTAGTTAATATTGTTATTATTATTACCACCCAGTTTTATTTCCTGGAAACTGTCACAATTACAACTCATATGTTGGAAAATAAACTCCTATTCAGTCTAATGTGAATGAAACATATTTT